AGGGCACAGGACGCGCCTGAGGCCCCGCCCCCGTCGTCAAGCACAAGGGAAACACCTGAAGCCCCGCCCCCAGCCGCTGTGGGAGCGCGTATGTCCCCGCCCCCGTCCGCCAGCGCGTGGCACGCGCCTGAAGCCCCGCCCTTCCACCCCGCCCCAAGTACATTGCGCACGCCTGAGGCCCCGCCTACAGTCCCGCCCCCAGGCGCAATGGGAAGGCCCTAAGCCCGGACATTCGTCCCCGCCCCCAGGTACAGTGGGACGGCCTGAGGCTCGGTACCCTCCACCACGGCCGGCTCGGCTCCTCCAATTCGCCGGACACCAACTCTCTTGGACAGCGCCTTCCACTGCCCATTCTCCGACGTAGCTGGGTGGGGACCCCAACGGTGCTTGAAGCTTGGGGAGACTTCGAGCCCCCCAACTGGACAATCCGGGTGAGCCTACCCCCAGGTGGGCAGTTGTGTGGCATCCCACGTAATCTCCAGGTCCAGAGGCGAAGACGGCATGCGTCTCCCTCCCCAGCGGGCGTGGCTTCATTCTCAGCCAGGCAGGGTCTGGATTATCCGGGAGTCAGTATCCTTGTAAAATGAGTGCTGATCTCGAACAAGAGCTGGCCCACGGGCACCAGCCCCAGGAGATCAGAGGACACGCAACGCCTTGGAGTGGCCACTTGGCCCCCTGCCTCCCTGGATCTGAGGTTCTTAACTTCTGTGGACTTGGTAGAGCCCTCCTGTATCAGAAAGAAGGCTGTGCTGAAGTGGACCCCGTCTTTCAGATGCTGTCTAGATGACGTAGGGCTCAGGAGCTGAGAGTCCAGGCAGGAGTGACCTGCAGTACACTGGGCGGTGATGGGCACTATGTCACATCAAGAGTTAGATAGAACCCGTCCACCGAGGAAAGCCCTACAAGGGGACATTTACTCTCAGTCAGCGGAGGAGGTGAGGAGTAGGGGGAACGGCAGATCCTACAGGGTCAGAACCTTGTCCTCCTCTAGGTGAGGTGGAGTGCATCAAGGGATTTTGAGCAGAGGGAGGAAGGATTCTGAAGGGTGAAGCAGGCATCACTGATAGTGGGACAAATGGTGAGAAGGAAAGAGGTCAAGGAGGACCTGCGGTGCTTGCTCAGTGTTGGGAACCAATTGAATAGTTCATATTGTTTCTCAGTGGATTTCCCAGCATTTTCTGAACACAGAGCTTGTCTTCTGTGAAGGGAGCTTACCTCTTTTTCCCAACCGAGGGAGGGGGGTGTTTTATTTCTTCTTGCCTTAAGACCTGGCTTGAAAGAAGCTCCAGCTCAGGGTCAAGTGAGAGCGTGACAGCATATGTCCTTATCCCATTCCTGATCTGGAGGAGGAATCCCACTTATCACTATGATGCTGGCTGTAGGTTTTTCATGGATGGATGCCCTTTATCAGACAAAAGTTCCTCTCTATTCCCAGGTTGTTGTTTTGTTTGGTTTTTTTTTTGGGGGGGGGGAGTGTGTGTGTATGTGTATGTGTGTTGCTGGGGATCAAATCCAGGGCCTTGTGCGAGGCAAGCACTCTACCAACTGAGCTATATCCCCAGCACCTCCAGGTTATGTCTTTTATCTTGAAACATGGTTGGATTTTCTCCAGAAAATCCAAAATATTCTTTTTGTATCTATTTCCCCACCACCATCCTGATTTTCAGTTATTGACCCTCCCTTGCATTCCTGGACAAACTCCCCTTGGTCACGACATAGATTCCTCTTGATATGTTCCTAGGTTTGGTTTAGTACTATTTTGTTAGGTTTTTTTTTTGTTTTTGTTTTTTGTTTTGCATCCATGTTCAAAATAATACCGGTTTATAAGTTCTTGTGAAGTCTTCATCTGGTCTTGGTATATCAGTTACTCCTGGCCTCATAAATCAGATTGAGAGTGTTTCTCAAATATTTCTGTTAGAGTTCTTGAAGAACTGGCATTAATTCTTTGGTAGAATTCAGCATCACAGCCATATGGAAATAGGGGTTAATGGGTAACTGATTATTATTCACTATAGGTCTGTTCAGATTGTTTCACCTTGAGTTAGTTTCAGTGGTTAAGTCTTTCTAGGAATGTGTCCAATTTATCTAGTTCCCAGGTTTTGGGCCTAAACAATTCTGATACCTGAGTAATCCTTAACTGAAATAGGAAAGGCCAGAGCAGGGAAGTGGGGCAGAATCAAGAGTTTTTAGCATGATTTTGGATTTGGGGATGACCTAGCATCCCTGGAAAGCAATTCTGTGGGAGGGTGGGGACAGAGGAGGATAGAATCTCCACAATGAGTGTGTAGCTTCCTTCCAGGAGTTTCACTGTAGAGGAGAGCAGAGAAGCTGAGCTGAACCAAGGGGAGGACAGGGTGCAGAGAGAGGGGTGTGTGTGCAAACTGGACATTCCAGATGCCAGTGGAAACCTGATGACAGAGGCGGAGAGTTGCTGGCGCCATAAGACTAGACACGAAACTGGGAGGAGGCCCCTCTTTTTCATCTAGTAGCAGCATGAGAGAAGGCACTGGGACAGGAGGATGGGCTGGGGCGGGAAGCCTGGCTGATTCTGCCCTAGTGGCCCCAAGACTGGCTTAAGGGCACAGCAGGGTACCATGGGTGGCAGGGGACAGGAGAAGGCCTGGGACAGTTAGTTGTCTAAGCTGCAGAGATAGACTATGATGCCGTCATCATTCTTTGTCTTCCCAGGAGACATCTCATAGGTGGACATACATGGAAGGGAGGCTGATGTGGCATGTGCCCTGAGACCACCAGAGAAGGGCTGAGTCACAGGGCTTGGCCAGGGCAGAACCCTCGAGGGATGTGGAGGGATATGCAGGGGTCAATCGTGACACTGGGCCACATGGGGCAGGGAGCAGGTGGAGAACCTGGCAGCCCAGAGATCCCGTGGGCTTAAGGAACTGCAAAGAGTGGGAACAGAGGGCTCTGGGTCAGAGGAATCATCTGGGCTGCTAGAATTGCATGTTTCCACCTGTTCTGGCACTGGAAAGACAAGCGTTTTTTCTAGATGCCAGTTCTGGCTCATGTGTGTTTTAGGAGTTACCCTTTAGGAAGCTGTCAGCCAGGCCTCTGTACCATGCTCAATTTTGAATATAGGAGCAGCATTTATCTCTATGATCCAAAACAAACTTGCTACTAGAACCCAGGACTGGTTTTGTTTATCTGCAGCAAAGGGGCAGTTTGCCAAAGGTGCCATGAAGACTCGGAGAGGATGCAAGGAAATGCCCCTGCCTGCAACCCCAAACATCTTCAGGATGGAACCAAAGCCATCAGCCCAGCAGGAGAGTGATGTCCCAGCCCACCAGTCTGCAACTCCGAGCAGGAGGAGCCCCTGCACCACTCAAATATCCCAGCAGAGAGCATTCTCTCCAGCATAGGTGAGCTTGGC